CTCACACCTCAAACATTGCTGATATGAATTACACAGTACACAGCTCCATCTGATTTCTGCCCCTGCTGTAGAATCTAAACATGATAAGGACTCCAGAAGTAAAGTGAAAAGCAATTCTGGAAAAGGAAAAGGCAAGGCAAACCCATCCAGGATTCACCTAATAAAAGACAAAGCACTCACCACACTCCGACAGCAAGTACCTTCTATAAGGAAAAGCTGAAGACATGGAAGTTTTGGTCAATTCCAAAGCTAATGCCAAAAAAATAGTGCATAATTTTAAGGAAGACAAGGTTAGGCTGGTTTCAGACATTTGGTGACACCATAATCTTGAGGAAGCACAAAGTGGTGACAAGGCTGCAGGTTTATAATACAGCTTTGTTAAATGTCCCAGACTTGTATGTGGCAGGCTGGGTTTAGAGCCATATTTACAACAGCCTGGCAAACTTCTACAGGGCTCAATCTGTTGGGAGCAAGATTACACAAAATTTGATGCCAAGAGCCCACAAGGAGAACATGCTTTAAGTGCTAAACCTGAGGAGTCTCAGCTTGCAATGGCAATGCACTCCAGGCTCTGTAAAACTCCTCCTGCTAGCTCCAATAGCAGTTCCCGTGTCGTAAATCCTGACCCAAGGTCTACTTCAGGACCAGCACTGAGAGGTCAACAGATGGTATCTCAGACCAAGACAGCAGATGCCTCTACTGATAGACAGAACGTGACAAAGTTTACAAAACGTGATGCAAAGAAGAATCCATCAAGAATGTAGGATTAAAGAAAAAAAGACACAAATGGAAGTATTTTGTCAAATCTGAAAAAAGTTTAAGTACATTCCTCTTATTTCTATAGTTATATTTAGTGTAGCTGAGCACAGGACAACACAGAATGCAATATGGCCTCTAGAAATCCTAATCTCTAATTAAAAATCTAATTTCTGTCTGTATACCAAGGAAGATGTAACCATTCCAAGATACCAATTTGACTATCATCAACATTATCAGAATATTTCAATCCAAATTAACCTTTTAAGAACAGTCGTATATGTATCAATATAAGATCTGTGCATGTGAGACAGAACCCATGGAGCCCATCTCAAAACAGGTTGAGAAATTTTCCACCTTGCACCTTTGTTGTTCCCTGAAGAAAAGGCATCAAGCTTCTGTATAAGTGTTTTGCACACTTTCAATAGCTTCTAAAGACAACCACCAAAATTTTTACAAATTAATATTTTCTTACCTAATTCTTTTGGTGGCTGGATCACCAAAACAATACTATGTCAATTCATTAACTGGCTGAAAGTGAGATGCAAGAAATCCAACCACAAACGCAATTTCATTCTACATTAATTAATTTTATTTAAATAATAACCCTTTAAAGACAAAGCTTGTCAACTTTGCCTCAGTGGATGAAGGATGCATCTCATTTTTTCTGGGTTCTAATTTACTAATTTTTGCTTTTGCAGAAAAAGTAATTTTACTTTCATCACTAGAAAATTGCAGAAGTACGTAACAATCTCTCTTATACAAGCTAGGAAAAAAAAAAAAAAAAGACATTATTTAAATAATAACCCTTTAAAGACAAAGCTTGTCAACTTTGCCTCAGTGGATGAAGGATGCATCTCATTTTTTCTGGGTTCTAATTTACTAATTTTTGCTTTTGCAGAAAAAGTAATTTTACTTTCATCACTAGAAAATTGCAGAAGTACGTAACAATCTCTCTTATACAAGCTAGGAAAAAAAAAAAAAAAAGACACTATCTTTTCTCTATTAATAATGTATAATAGGTCCTCCTTAGCATTGGAGGTTATCCCATCACAACCTACTGCTCCAGCCCAGACATTCCTAATGTCTCCTCTTCCTCCCAACAGGGGAGACATCAAGAATGCTTCAGCATAAAACAACATCTGCCCTCTAGAGATTATCGTCTTACTGAATACCTTGTCTGCCTTTTTAAAACTCAATGGCAGGTATTTCTTTAAAAATACTGAACTCCAGAGGAGGGAAAAACCCACAAAAAAAAATCCCACCTCCTATGCAGTTGTATCCCTCAGCATTTTTCTAGACGGTCTCTGGCCAAAGTCATAATTAAACAAAAAACCCCAAGCAAATTAAAAACCATGAAATTCCATTTGAACATAAAAAACCCACAGCTTTTTTACTGTGAGGGCAGTCAAATACTGGCACAGGTGCCCAGAGTGGTTGTGGAGACTCCATCCTTGCAGATATTCACAACCCAACTCGACATGGCCCTGGGCAACCTGCTCTGGCTGACCCTGCTTGCGCAGGGCGGTTGGACTAGTTGATCTCCAGAGGTCCCTGCTGACCTCAACCATTCTGCGATTCTTTGATAACACATAGAAAACTACTGAGTATTAAAAGATAGTGCACTAAAATGCTTTACTTCTGACCAAACAAGACCAAGGTTGAAAAAAAATTTGGCTGAAAAAAACCAAACAAAAGCCCCACAGAGATGTCTGAAAAGGAGCTCTCCATTTCAGTGATGAGGTGTACCACCTTCTCAGTAAGAACCAAGTAATTCTTATTTTCTCCTATTTCTGCATATTCACAAGAAAATTAGTAGGAAAGATGACTGGCAGTTGGCGCAAGGTACATTTCACTCACTTCAGTGGTCGTCTTCTCTTAACTGCACTCCTCCGCAGGCCAAAGAGGGAGAAGGAGCTACCTGTGCCCCTCTGTAACAGTCAAAACACACAGATGCCAGACCAGCAGCACAGCCACCAATTCCTCAGAAACACACTGAGTTTCCCACCCTGTACCAGTAAAAGCAGACAGGAGATGTCCCACACGAGGTCCCCGCCTCGCACGGCGGTTAACCGCTCAACATGCGCCTCTAACCCTCACCTCGACAATGCACCTCACCTTCAGAGCCTGCCAGGTAGGATCGTAAGTTAAGAAAGTCATCCTCAGCCACACAAATGTCCCAAGGAGGCCCTTCGGCAGTCTGCTCTCCGTCGGGGCCCGTTTCGCGCCCAGCTACGCTGCAGCAGTTGAGCCGCCAGGCCCAGGAGAGGGACATCGACTCCAGCTGCGGGTGCTGAGCAGCTCTGACAGGTCCAGGCCGGCTCTCTTGGCCATCCGACCAGAGAGAGCAACTCCCAGATGTCAACTACTACCCTAAGCCCTCAAACTGAAGTGTGCGTGTTTCACTTTAGTGCTAATTGACCCAGATCCATCAGTACTTCAGAGTTATTAGTTTCAGCTGAAAGACCTGAGGCCCATGCCCAGTATGGCAGAACCTTCACACACAATACTCAAACATAAATGCAGATAAACACAGAAAGTGCTTTCCCTGGGGACCCAACAGAAGCCCTGCTACGGCATTAGTGACAACTTTGTCCCAAGACCAACATTAAAAATTTCAAGTGACAGAATTCACAGCTATTTTCTTCAGCGACTATTGCACAAGCCAATGGATTTTACACATAAATCATCCCACGAAGCTAAAACACAAAATTTGAACTGAACTATCAAAGAAAGAAGAAATGAGGTGATGATATCAGAGCACACCAAATAAAATTCTTGGTTTCATGCTCCATTCTTAAAGGAAAAAACAAAACCAAAAACTAAAAAAACAAACAGCATTCGCAATGCTGCAGGTATCAAAACCACAACAAATGCCATAGGTAACAAAACCAACAAACAAGCGTTCATAAATATTTTGCAGCCTACTTTGTGTCTGAAGACTCAACAAAAAGCAGCTGCATTCAGTTGTGAAAATATACCTACAATGTAAATCAAGTACCTAAAATACACGGCACCAAATCTCACCAAGTAACTTCTGATGATGAAGAAATTCTGCAAGATGTTTTTAAAAATCAGTTCCTTTATTTCACAAAGGGTTTTTGAAGATCCTTCTACAGGGTCTCTACAGCTTCCCAAAGCTATAAATCTTGGTACTGGCAAGAACACTATCTATCAAGCGTTGAATGTTTCAGTGCATATTTTCAATGTTTGAGAATTATTATGATGTCATATTTTATCCATTAACTACCAAAGAAGAATCCAGGTACGACTACCATACCAAACACGTAAAGTATATTTTCAGAACTCCAGACACTGTCATTGGATGCATAGGGATGAAACAAAATAAGCATACATTAAAAATGTACTTGCAAGACGACAAAACTCCTTCTGTACAAAAACTGGAACTAGGAACAATCATGGTTATTTTTATTAATTTTTCATTTTTGTTATACAACACGTCTTCAAAATACACGTTGTAGCTATATTTGATCTTGCAGCCACCTCAACTCTTTAAGACCCTATTCCCATCTCCGTAACAAACATATTCATCTTGGAAAAGTGGGGAAAAACAACCCCAAAGTAAAAAATGTGCCTATTGATTGCTCTGAAATGCCTGGTCTCCTAGCAGCGTTACGTTTTAATGGACCCAATGTTACATTACCCCTTCGTTAAATACCCCAGCCATAGTTTTCAGTGTACCTTTGCTACATTTTTCCTATTTAAGAACAAGACTTACAGAACATGAGAGCTCCATACAAACTGAGCATTTAAAAATCATAGCAGTTCTGAATATCACTTTATTGATTCTCCTCACCTTTCCACATTTCAGCTTACCTCAGATCCTGGGGGAATCTGACTTTGGCCTGGCTGATTCTGAAGGCGACCAGCATTTCTTGCTGGCCCAAAACCCACTGCATTGTCATCCTGTTGCAATTCAACCATTTCCATGGTCATCTGTCTGAAAGTAAGTACATAGAAATCTAAATAATGCAGTACAGGGAAGTATACCAGGCACCTAGGGAGAAAACAGCAATTCCAGACTATTTTGTATTTGGAGCAGACAACTAACAGAAAATAAACAGATTTCTCTCCAAACTATCAGATTAAATGAAGTCCTTTCTTCCCATTCCCCCATATTAAAATACTCCTTCACATCGCCAAGAGCTCTAAACCAAGTGCTTTGGAAAGCTGCAAGGAAGGGCAGATTTGGAAACGGCTCTCAGGGGAGGGACAAGCACAGCATCCCGGGGTCCCATGCAACGTCGACAGCGGGGCTGGGAGCACAGCGCTCCGGAACGGCCCGCAACAGGTCCCTCCAGCCTCATGTCTCCCACCAGGCAAGGCTCGAGTTGACCAGCAGCCATGTGCTGCTACAGCCCATTCAACATTCTGAGATACCGACCCCCGGCTGGGATCTAGTCTTGAATTGTTTGTAAACTGCTCACGGCTCAAGACCCACAACAACTCTTCTCATTTTGCTGCTTTAAAAGTAGGGCAAGTTTCACTGAATAAGCAACTCCCTAACCCTCAATTTAAACTATGAGTTTAAACTCCACAGAGAAAGCTTCCAAATATATCTGCTGTATAAAAATGCAATTACCTGACAGTTGCTTTTCCATATTTCTTGCCACACTTAGTCATAGCGGAAGGTGCGTGTTTTAAAACAAGAGCTTGGTTCTCTTCGGCTTCCTTCCTCTCCTACCAAACCCTGCACTGAAGGTGCAACATTGAACAGGTGATGTCACAAACATTGCCATGGCAACAGGTCCGTTTACAAACAGAACACAGAGAGGACAGGGTCAGGCAGAGGCAGGCAGGAGGCCCGTGGGCTCACTCCCACCTACACCCCACTTACACAAGGGGCTGAGGCCGCAAAAGGAAGATGTGCTACAGTTGTGGCATTTAAGAGGCAGCAACTCTCACCTCCTCGGGTTCAGTTACTGTAACTCGGGGATGGCAAGCCCAGCTGAACTCAAGATCAGCTGCTTCACCTGGCTGACAGTTACTGCAGTTTCTTCTCAGGCCTTACACTGAGAGATAGAAGAGATGGGGAAGGCAATCTGCTATGGGCCCAACTCCAAGGCTCCTGAATTTAGTCCCGTGTGTTAAAAGTTAACTACCTAAATCAAATTAAATGTAAACCCAACTCCTTTTGCGGCACGATTTTACAGAATATCCCACAATCTTCAAGGAGAATAAACATTTTTTTTTTAAGAAAATCACCCTTTTTGCCTAGAATAAAGGCAAGAAAATATGAGAAGGAATCCAGCCATATGGTGCAGAGAAGCATGTTTCTAGCTTGTATTCCTCTAATGGTATTCTACTGACTAGACTTAACAGTACTACGTCTAGTGGTAGCCAAGCTCTACACAATTCAAGATTTTATGGGCTAACATTAGTATTTCTGCCAACAGAAGTTACATACTCTATGCCAGTATCAATTCAGATTAAATTCATAAGGAGACATTTTACACCTAGAATCTTTCTACATTCCTGTCTTGTTAGTTACCACTAATCACCGTTTTCCCCAGATACAATCTACTGAAATTCACCGAAGTTGAGCAACTCTGGGGAGAATGTTTTCACTAAGCTTTTCACCATAATTTTCCATAACAAGATGTTTATCTGTTAAATCATTCCGGTTTTATATATGCATTCAATATAGCAATAATAATAAAAAAGTAAGGGTGGAAAAAAACAACATTCCTCCTTAGTAAACCAGGACCATCCACAGAGTCTCCAACACGAAAGCTGAATCTGGTTCATGCAAGAATGCCTCCACGAGCTTCAGAATAGCTCACACACCAAGGAATATTAAACAATGCATAGATGCTGGCAAGATATTCCTTGCAATCTCTTCCTGAAGATGGGAATATAGTCAGAATTAGTTAATTTTATAGAGGCCTTGAAGAATTTTCTTATCCAAAGCCATCTGTCACAGATAACCTACTGCCGGGGGAAAAAGCCAAGTATTTTTATTCCCACTGAATGCATTCCATAGAAGTTTCACCTGGAAAGAGCCATTCTTGATGTTGTGAAACATAGGGTTTAGTTTCTAAAATTTAGCTTAATTCCTCACTGACTGCAGAACACTATAAAAAAATTTACTTATTTTTACTACTTTGATTATCAGGATTTTTCTCCCAAAATCTTTTAATCTGCTGTGCTCCAGTAACTGTTTGCAAATAGCTAGGAAAATATCATCAGCGCAGCAGAAAATCTAATAAAAAGTTACTCCTAGTATTCTACAAAATCCAGTAGAGGACTGTATTTTTTAGACTATGTTAAACTAGAAAAATAACAGCAAGTATTATAAACGCCAGTGAAATGACAAATATAATTAAGACTTATGACATACAAGAAAAACTCGAAATTCAAATAGTTATTCCATCTATAATTGTGTATGTGCTGACTCTTAACACAAATGATTGCCTATTTTAAATCTTCAAAGTGGAGTAAAATCTGAAAATTTGTATATGGCTTTTAAGTAGCTTTCCTCCCCCTCCCCCCCCCCCCCCCCCCTTTTTTTTTTTTTTCACTGCCATAGGATGCAAGTGCTAGCCTAAAACACAGCAACATACTCTTTCTAGATAAGCTAAAATCCACTTCTTTTTACCAGCTGGTAATTCTAGTATGTTTGTAGAAAGAGACTTGACTAAAAAGGCCATCCAAATATACAGATGTAACTATAGTCTATAAAACCAAAGCAAAAATAACAAAGGACATAAATAATCTTAAAAGATACAGTAGTTATCTTGGTGTGAAACTTCAATGAGAAAGATGACTAAAGACAAAATCTGGCACACTCGTATCATAATTCAAACACTTTACAAGATTATGAACCTCCATATGCATAGCCACAGGGGATTGCTGAACTTTCAGGCGAAGGTCAGTCGTAGCCAGGTGAGCCCGCAGGGTGAGAAGCAGCACAGCCACGCTGTCGCTGCATCTGCGCCTGCGCACAGCTCAAGACCCCACATGCTAACTCCTGAGCTTCACAGGCCAGGCCAGGCATCTCTGTCTTTAGCGCACTCTCACGAACTCTCAAATTTCTATAACCCGAATTGTGGAGTTTTTGTGTTTCCTGTATTATATATTGCTTTACCATGGACACATTGAAGTGTTTTTAATAAATATACAGAAAAATACAGAGCAAGATTATTTTTTTTTCTAATATGGACTGTGTTAAGAAACAGCTATTAATCCAGTCTACGAACTACCAACATAAACCGTTTCCACATGTCACACTCAATCAGTTTACACTGCAAGCAAATTCTAACATATTTATTGCTTTTAAGTTTCAAAGTAAGAAAAAAAAAAAACCTTTTGCCGAGCACTTAAAATCCTTTATAAAAGTGTATCAGTAGTAGTACACGTGGCACTTTAAAGTCTGCTTTACCTGCCTCCTGTTTTAAAGGAAAGCCAAACAAACAGTTTTAATGATACTGTCTCAGGTCCTGTTTAAAATTATATAATGGTTTTCTTCATTGTATGATTAATTATATGCAAGCTCATATTTGTATTAATTATAATTATATACAAGTCTTATATTCAGTATTAATACATTCACTTCTTACATTTTCAGTCTTGGTTGCTTACCATTATCAAAAAGTAATTTTTAATATTTGTCTGGATTTTAAGATTAACAAACAAGTTACACCTCTCCCCTCCCATAAAAAAGGGGCAAACATAATAGAGGCAAAGATACCTACTTCTCCCTACAAAACATCTAAGAAATCTTCAAGATCTGGCAGGAGGTTTCATTGTTAACTAGCTAGTACCATTTCAGTATATATTAGCAGGTGTTTAGTCACTGTGCACAGTAGGTGAGTAGCAGGTAAACATTGATTAAGAAGATGTATATGGTGCACATCGAAAGCTTCTTCAGCTGCTAACAGCAGCATCCCTTATGGGACAATACCGACAGACGGCATCAGCTAAAGGAAAATGTTGCCCAGGTGACCTAGAAAATTGGAAGTTATTTACAGCTAAAGGTGCAAACCTTTTATGTTTTTGTCCATAGACAAAAGGTTAAGGATAGCATCCTTATCAAGATGTGTACTTGTGTAATACAGAGCACAGTCCTTTCACTCCCCCCCAGTTCTGCTGTTTGCTTTACAAGTGCTTCACTGAATATAAATATTTAATGTGTTGGTGAAATTAAACTGCATAAGCAAACCGGTACATTATTTTGCATAACTGGAAATGTATGACTGCCTAATTAAATACCCAGAGACATTTTGAAGACAACTTCTTTATTTCAACAACGCTTTACACATTAGAGACTGCACACAAAGGCGGCTTATTACAAAGGCAGCTGTCAGAGGCGAAGCAGCGCGTTACAGCCCGTGCTCCAAACCTCTTTGCAGGCATTCGTTCGCGGGGAACTGACTAGCACCAGCAGCGCACCACTTCTTGGGCCTCCCGAACTCCAGCGCCCCTCCTCGTTCTCTTCCCCATCCTCTTCTCCCGAGGACACCTCACAAATCCCTCACAAAGCGGTGTAGCCACCCAGCCTGCC